GTGAGTTTCTTCAAAGGTAATAGCAACTTTAATTTCATTTTCAAGCAATTCCTTAGGATTTTGAGTATGCTAAAAATAAAAAATTGTTTTATGTGAAAAAAGCTATCTTTTGGTACAATTTGTATGCTATTGTTAGTGTTCAAAGTTTATCTTGATTTGATGAAAGGGGATTTTAATTCTTGTTTTTATGGGTTTTGAAGAGTTTAGGGATTTTAAAGGATTGGTTGTAAGAATTGATGAAGAACATAAGAATGAAGTTAAAGAAAACAGTTTGGATTTGAATTTGGCAGTAGGTTCGAAAATTCACCAGAAATTATATAAAAATAATTTCGAGATTATTTTATATATTATGTTCATATATTGATCTAGTTTCGTTTAAAATAAACGGGGATCAATTTCAAGGTGTATAGATATGAATTGTTAACCAAGGAAATGTCAGAAAAATCGGACAACAGATTCTGCAAAACTGATTCTGTTGGTCAACTTTGAAAATTCACCATAAATTGTACATAATGAATTAGAAGAAATTCTTTATATGATAGATTTGTATTCGAGTCTAGTTTTCAACGGAAGAAACAGAATTAAATTACAGTGTGTATATCATACAAAATATTGATTCTTAAGGTGGTGCAAGGTCAGATTATGGAATTTTAGAAAGTTTGGTGATTGTAATACAAATTTTGAATTGTTGGGAGTGTTATTTTAATTATGCCTTTGTATGGGTACTTGGTTTATAATACCTTCACTGGAATTTTTGGTATTAAGAATCTAAGTGATAAAATGGTGAAGGATCATTTTGAGTAAATTGGAAAAGTGGGTTCCAATGTTAAAGGAATTAATAAGTACTGAATATTTGATGGAAATGAGTTTGAAGTATGCTATGGAATTATTTTGGGACATGTTTATGTTAGTACAATACTACCATATGTATTGTTAAATTTTGATTTATACAGATCATGGTTGATTTACAATTGAAGCAAGTCAGTATAAAAAGGGTATATTGTGGACAATAGTGAAGCACAAATATTTTGAAAGATATAAAGTGTTAAGGTGAGTGAAATACATTAATGAAATTATACATGGATGTTTTATACATCATCAGAAGACTTGCGATAAGTCAACCTTGTTTATATCGACAGATTTTATATCATTTTTATAAATTGACATTGATATGTCAGAGTATGAAATTAAAATACATTGATCACTGATTTTTGCATATGATGTTATCATGAACATATATGATTTTTACCATGAATGTTATTTCGGGTATTAACTGCCCCATCGTTAAATATTGATAATATACTTTGCCATGGACAGATCAAATAAAATAGATGTATGCCCAAGTCAGTTATTGAGGGACAGGGTATAGTTGGCATGCCATAGAGTTCAGCAGCAGGCTGGATATTCGGGAATACACTAAAGGATACTAGTGTATATGGGGGGCACGACCTTATGTGTCATATTCGGGAATTGTACTTAAGGATACCTAGTACAGATGGTGGACACGACCTTATGTGTCATATTCGGGATTACACTACGGTGCAAATATTTGACTCGTGTACCCATGGTCCTCAAGGTTGTATTGGGCTATTGTCTATTGTTTATGGTTATTTTCTATGGTATATGTTTATGGAATAATGGCAAGTGTATTGATAAAAATAAGCTTACGAGCTTATGGAATTTAAATGGTAATTATTTTGGTAAATAAACCTACAAGCTTATGGGATAAATGGTAAGAGATTTTATGTTATTTTGATCATGGTAAAATATTGGATATGTTATTAAAATGATTTTATGGAAATTGATTTTTGACATTGAAAATCATGCATAAATTATATTGCACTGTTATTGTTTAATTGTCTCACTAAGTATATACTTAGCGTGTGATGATTTTCACGCGTAGGTAAAAAGCAAAGAGTAAGATAAAGAGTCCAGAACAACATCAAGCATCAAGAGGTATATTTCAATATCAGTAAGACATCCTACGATGGATTTTGATTTAGATAGTGACATGTAATTTGATAATGTTAAATTTGTTTTATTGAATTAATTTGGAAACAAATTAGTAACTTGATAGTGATGAAAGATTAAATTTTATGAGTTTTATATGTAAATTTTCGAAAGTTACTATAGCAGTTACTGTTGCATGAACAGTAACCACGAATTATGAAAAAAAAAAGCATTTGTGGTATCGATTCCCCACTGTTTATGTATTGTTCACTGTTACTGTTAACGGATACTGTTTACTGTTACTGTTCACGGATACTGTTTACTGTTACTGTTCACGGGTACTGTTCACTATTCATAAAAAAAACTTTTGAATTAAATTGGTTTAATAAAATATTTTATGATATGATATTTTTATAATATCAGTTACCACGTTTAAGAAAATAAATTTTAAATCGCTTTGAATTGAAAAATAGTTTTAGAAATTCGGGTGATATTATAATTTGTATAGGTATAAATATACAAGTTATGACTTACCGGGAGTGCCATGATACGATTCTCGGATATGTCCAATTCAGTTACATCCTTCAGTTTCCCGATTGATACAGGAAGCCACTCAATCTGGTCCATCAACTTGCCCCTAAGATCAAGAACTACCCCTCCTGTTCTAGTAGTATTATCAATAAGCGCTGCTGTCTTCATTAGGTTCAGTTTTTCCTTGCTATTTTCACCTGCAGATACACCAAAAGCCTTCGTTTAGGACTGAATTTTCATGATCAGGATTCAAATAACGGTCCACTATTGGAATAGCAATCGTTATCCGAAACAGTTTATTACACAATTGCAACTCTAGTGACCATAAAAGCATCCCTTGTATCTGCAATCGTAACAATCGCAACACAACTGGAAATGTGGCTGCAACTGCAATTTAGATCTCTGTTGACTTATCAATTATATCTACCTATTCTAATGATCTTTCCTTTTCAATTCAACCAAAACAAATATAACTTGATAATAAGAATTCTAGTTTCTTCTACTTATCCGGATTACAATCCATCATAGGAACAAAAACCGTCATCAAAGAATAAAAAAGGCTCAAAAATTCACAAGAAACTGAAATTGCTCAAAAATGATAAGAAATTGTATGCTTCACCTGAGAAGAAAGAGGCGTTTGCAGAAGAAGTTCTAACCAAACCTTTAGCATCATCTTTATCCAATTCACTATCTTCCTCTCGCTTCACCAAACTATCATCAGTAATAAGAGTTTCTCCATCGAATTTGCTCACACGTTCTCCAAAAGTAGTGACCTTTTCATCAAGGGCATCCCCAGAAACCAGGGACGAAGCCCTTTGAATCAACCCATCAAAGGTCTCAAACATCTTGTCAGCTTCAACCAAATGAAGGGCATCTTTCTTTTCCTGATGGATTTGAAACAACACCATGGTTTTCCCCACCTGTTGCAGGATGGAGAAGAGCTCAGCAGGGACATATTGGGATGGTTTTTCTTTTGAGATCTCTTCAAGCTTGACTTTTTCTTCGTTTTCGACGGTTTTGAGAACGGATTTAGCTGCTTCAACCTCACCAATTGAAGGCCTTGGTGGGAGTGATCTGTAAAGTCTCATGATTTCTTGTACTGTCTGAAGAAAAGAAGGTGATGGATCTTGCTTTGACATCACCGCCATGGCCGTGGCTTTGAGGAGGAGGCAAAAGGTCATGTTTATTTTCATTGTTTAAGGTATTCAAAGTTATTATAATTGTGTCGTGCAGATCACGTGTAGACATTAGACTTTTTAGATTGTTTATTTTTTAGAAGACAGAAGTTCTTCTAACGTCTGCGCGTCCTCTTCTTAGTACATACATACTTTATGTCTTCAAAACTCTTCTAACATCTTCAAAGAATATTAAATTTAAAAAATTTATATCATATAAATTATTTTATATATTATTAAATTTTATATTTATTTTAATTATTTTGATTTAAGTTGAAATATAATATTTTTGGATTTGTTATTTTTAAATTATTTAAACTTTTATACGAAATATAAGTATTTAAACCACATTGTTTAATAAAAATGAATTCATTGTTTGATAATTAAGATTTTAAAATATAAAAATTATAAATTATATTTTTAAAATTTTAAAATATAATCACAATTAAATAAAAAATATCATAAATAATTGATTTAAAAAATATTTTCTAAAAATATTTTTATAATTATAAAAATAATTATGAATATATATATTTAAAAAATTAAAAGTATTACATAATTGCATAAATTATTGAAAATATTCAAATAAATATTTTAAAATTTTGAAAAGAGAGATGTATGATTCATTGATTAATAGTTTAATGATAATTAATGTTGTTGTGTCATATGATAATAAAATTCAAAATTTATATTATATAACTTTAGATAATTTAATGTTTAAAAATTATATAATTTAATGATCATTTATAAATTTTATTCTATAAAACTTATAAAACTAATAATACATATGATTATGTGAGACTTATAATAGAATTAATAAGGTGGTGTTTGTTTTTCAAAAAATTTATTATTGTAGTTGTATGGATTATTTAAATTTAGTATTGTAAAACTAAAATTATTTAAATCTCAGTATTGCAAAACTTTTTTAAGATTAAAAAATTAGTTTATTTATTTTAGTTTATTTATATTTTAGTTTATTTTAGCAGTCTGTATATGTTAAAAAATAAATAGTCTTCTTCTGTAGACTTTGGACTCTTCTGCTGCAGATGCCTGCAGATGTGATTCACAGATTGCAGACCTTTTATATCTATAAAAACAACACCACCTGATGTTTTTAGAAAGGTTTTCGTTTATTTATTTACTCACGGACAAACAGAGCTGCCTGCCCTTCCATCTCCCCTTTCTATGAAATTATTTCTCCATCATCCCTTTCTATATATTTAAAAATATAAAAATTTTTTTAATCTAAAAATGAAATTTTTAAATTTTATATTTGAAAAATTGTTTTTAGACCCAAATTATAATTTTAATATTCTCTAAGACATAATATAAAAATTAATTCTAATATTTATCGAAATAATATTTTATTTAAAAAAATATTTTGACTTTTGACATTTTATATTAGAACAAAAAGGTTTCATAAAAAAATTTAGTTAATAAAAAATAACACTTTAAATAAAGATTTTTACACTAAAATAAAATATTAGAATGCCAAAATGCTCTAGAATCGGCGTGCACTATGGGTCTATTTCCTTCCTTGTAGACATATACTTTGAGCGTGTTTACAAACTAACGGAGATAAAAAAGCAGTGAAACTTAATCAGCTCTTTATCAGCTCTTGAAGACCATCTTGGTGTCTACAAACTAACGGAGATAAAAAAAAACAGTGAAATATAACTTAAGTGTCCCTTTGTAATAATGGAAATCTTAATGAATGAGCATACCATGGATTCATATGAAACAAATTGTTCATATCAGCTATTGTAGTTAGTGCCGGTGGCATCTCAGGCTTTTTTTGTCATGGGGGGGAAAAAATCAAAACAATTACTGAAAAGATGTACAATTATCTGGCAAAACATTTTCACATATTGAAAATGCACAAATTGGTTGTGAAGATATACATTTGGTGTTTCCTTCGAGTGCTGTGAGTACTTTAAACTTTTTCTGTATTGTCTTCGAATATTGTATTCATGTATCTATCTAGATACTAGGAAATAAAAAGATAAATTCTCTGAAATTGATTCGAGATTTGATTAAATTATGTGATAATATGTGTTTTTACATTCTACCTTATTTGACTGTGTTTAAAACTTTAAATTGTTTTTACTGATTATCTCAATACTTTAAGCTCGTTAAGTTGTTTTCAATGTCATTACATGACTTTTGTTTATCTTGTTAATCCGAGCATTGGTGTGTATTTTAAGTTATTCGAGTTATGCTTCTTCATGCTTAATATGTAGTGAGGTTAATAGTTGTGTTGCTTTGATTGAGTTTAGCATGATGATGATTTCTGTGCGATGAACATAATTCATGTTTTGATTCAACTTCCTCCTTTTGCTTCAACTTTCACTTTCTTCAAACTTTTCTTGTCATTGTAAAATGTTTTTTCCTTCAGAAAATGAAATCTTCATCATCTAGTGCTACTCATATGTTTTGTGTTGATGTTGAAACTCCTTGTGATACTCCAAATAATTCAAATGATGTTGTCAAAACTGATCAATCAGCTGCAGCTTCTTCAAGCATCCCATCTAATCTTCAGCAGCCTTTAAAAAAACCAAGAGGCAGGTTAGGTACCACAAGTTCTATAGTTTGGGAACATTTTACAAAATTACCTTGTGTAGTTGGAGATATTCCACAATGTAGCTGTAATTATTGTGGAAAAACCCTTAAATGTCCAACTAAAAGTGGAACTAGTGTCATGCATAATCATATGAAACGTTGTCCTAAGTACCCATTTAACAAGGTAGATGCAAAACAGCAAAATTTGTGTTTTAAATCAGAGGAGGATGGGCAGCAAAGTTTGGGTTTAGTTATTTGGAAATTTGACCAAACACAATGTAGAAAATATTGTGCTAGGATGATTATCATGGATGAATTGCCTTTTAGAGTTGTTGAGCATGAGGGATTTCGAGATTTTTGCAATATGATGCAACCTAGATTCCAAGTTCTGTCTAGGTTCACTATAACAAAGGATTGCATAGAAGTTTACTTGGAAGAAAAAGATAAACTTTTTAAGTATTTTAAGAGTTTCAATCAAAGGGTTTCTCACTACTGACATATGGACTTCTAGGAAAAACCTTAGTTACTTGTGTCTCACTGTTCATTTTGTTGATGATGAATGGAAATTACATAAACGAATCTTAAATTTTACACTCATTCCAAGTCATTCAGGTGATGTGATAGGGAAATACATTGAAAAACACTTGCTTGAGTGGGGAATAGATAAGGTGCTCACAATCACAGTAGATAATGCTAGCTCCAATGATGTTGCGATCAAGTATATAAAAAAAGGCTAAACAATTGGAAACATAACATTTTAGGGAATGATTACATTCACATGAGGTGTTGTGCACACATATTAAATCTAATTGTTAGAGAGGGTTTGAAAGATTTGGATGACTCAATTTTTAGAATTCGTTCGGCTGTTAGATATGTTAGGTCATAACCAGCTAGGATGCAAAGGTTTAAGTAGTGTGTTGAGCAAGAAAAAATTGAGAGAAAGGGTTTAGTTTGCTTGGATGTTGAAACTAGATGGAATTCGACATTTTTAATGCTAGATGCAGTTGTGAAATTCGAAACAGCTTTTGACAGGTTGGGAGAGCAGGATTTTAAGTATAGAGATGAGCTTTCAAGTTAAAAAATGAAAGGTCTACATACTGACTTAGATTGGGAGCATGCTCGTGCTTTATTGCCATTTTTAAGAGCCTTTTATGATGCTACATTGAAGTTGTATGGTTCTTCATATGTTACTAGCAATTATTATTTTCATGTTGTGTTTGGCATTGGAATGAGAATTAATGATAAGTTAAATGATCCAAACTCAAGCATAAAACTTATGGCTTCAAAAATGAGGGAAAAATATCACAAGTATTGGGGGAATGTGAAAAATCTTAATCCACTCTTATTTATTTCTATGATTTTAGATCCTAGACACAAGATGGATTATGTAATCTTTGTGATTGATGAAGTTTACGATGCTGAGAAAGCTGAGCAATTAAGTGAAATTGTAAAACAAACTTTAAGTGAGTTGTTTGATCATTATAGTTTGTTAAGTGGTAAATCCCAAGAGGAACCAAGTGTTGCTTCTCAATCTAATATCTCTAGGGTTGAAAATGATGAGCTGCTTGATTTGTTTGCTTATTCCAAGACCAAGTACAAAAGGAAGAGGGTTGAAAGTGTGTTTAGTGAAGGAAAATCTGAACTTGAAAATATTTGGAGGACAAAGTAGAACATGATGTTAAGAAATTTGATTTGCTTGATTGGTGGGAGAACAAAGTCAGACCTATCCCATAATTTCTATAATGGCTCGAGATATTTTGGCAATTCCTGTAACTACAGTGGCTTCAGAATCTGCTTTCAGCACTGGAAGTCGTGTTCTTGACTCATTCCGGAGTTCTTTAACTCCACAAATTGTTGAGTGTCTCATTTGTGTGCAAAATTGGCTGAGAGCATCACCTATAGCAATCCAAAAAGAGGAACAAATTGAAGAAATGGAGAACATTGAGAGTGGTAAGTAATAATTATGTAAACACTTATAAATATTTTTTTAACTCATTTCTGTAAATATTCTTACTTCTAAATATTTTTTGACTTTTAATAGGTTTTGAAGATTTAAGGCTAAATGAAACAATGATGACCATTGATGATTGATCGAAGATGGACACTTACAAAGGTAATTTCTATGATTTAATGTTATAAAGCTTATGACATGATAATATTTGAAACCAAACCGATTTAAATTTCTATGATTTAATGTTACTGCAGCTTATGACATGATAATATTTAGATACTGTTTCTGTTTGTGATATTGAAATATTGTTTTGATAATATATTAAACATTAGTTTTAAATTTAAATATATCTCAATTCAAATGTAATTTGTTAATTAGGAGGAAAATGTTAATCAAAATGTGAAATAATGTTGCTTTTAACATAAAATATGGATTGTTATTGATTCGTTAATGTGTTGGTTTAGATTCTGGTCTG